GTCCGTGCTCTCAGAGATATCGTAATGCAGTTTTTTTCTGCTTTTCACTCTAGCCTGGTATATCAGGTGGCTACGAATATCTGCATCTATCTCCCACTTTTTCGATAGTTGAATAGACTTTTAACGCTTTATCTGACTCTAGACTCACATTTTACTTGTCTACTTTCGTATCTCTTATTTATTTTGACAGAAAATCGAAGAACTCAGCCGAGAGGTGATTGCGAAGGGTCTTGATCATCAGAAGTCTGAGCAGACGCAGCAAAAACTTCGTGACATCTACTTCAAACTACGGGAAGAGCACCTGACCCTGCTAAGGAACGTAAGTTATCTCAACTCTCTATTGCAACTCTACATTCTTCAGTACTCGTTGCTACACTGTTACTAGTTTATCTTTCCTGAATGCCTAAAGTTTATAATCAAATAATCGGCCGAGTCTAAAGCTATTATATTTCTTATTCGCATAGAGTATATTGGCGCTTGTCGAACAGAGAATCTGCAAAACATTTTCCTAAGATATGCTATTTAGAGTTTGGTTGTAATGGCTCTATGCTTTTGAACTTCTCCTAGTTGGACCATTTCTACTGTTGTTTCCTGCTGCATTGCTATGTCTATTTATCTTCTATATTTTTGTGTATTGCTGCTCCCGATGAATTACTTAATACACCCAGGCGTGCTGGAAGCTAGGCTCAATAGAGGCTCTGGATAATCAGGCTTACTACCACCACGCCAACAATCTCTTCCGGGTCTCTAAACAAGCGAATTTTCTTGTTCTATAGACTATTGTATTTTCATCTAAATCTCTGTTATAGCCCTCGATGTTGAATGCCTGAAAGAATTGGGTAAATTTTATAATATGCTAACCTGATAAGGTGCTTTGATATATACGTTTCTATTTTTACTCAATTATTTCAAACCTTTTGCATCATACTTCATCCGCCATCATTTCAATTCTTCTTTTCTATGGAGTTTGTTAGTTCTTAGATCATGTCCATTAAGTTCAACTTTGACCCCAAATAAAGTTTGCGACCGTTTTTTCATTAATCCGAAAGCCTTGTTGATCTATGAAGCTAAGACATTTTACACAGAAACACAAGTTCTTCGTAGATCATTCACTAAACTCATATATTAAAGCACTTTCGGCCCCAGGAGATTCTGAAACTACTTGAATTGATTGCTGGCAAACTTTCAAAATAGGAGACGGAAAATTAATATTCTACATTGCCTGACTACTGCCCGTAGCGACGAGAGACTACGATCTACATAGGTAGTTAAGTATTGCTTTGCATCCCTTTTATTTGTCACTTTCAGGTGCATATTTGTGAATATTTCACACTACATCCAAGGTTCACTTGATTAAGTTGAATTTTTGCATATATGGAAATTCATATACTATTGAATGATACTCGCTAGTATGTGTATTTGCTTGAGATCTTGTAGTAATATTTGGATTAATTAAGGCTGTATGTTGTGATGAGTATTTCACTATAGAAATTTTAGTAGCAATAATCATTTTATTTCGAGATTGGCTTCCATTCATGATATTTTAATCAAAATCCGTTTTGAATAAAGCAAACTCATTATTACGTATTGATACTAATTCCTTTAAATTCTTTTCGAAGAAATACTGGAAACTATAGTTTTGATATTAAGATAATAATAAGAAGAATACAGAATATATATATATATATAT